GGAGAGGGGTACCTGTCGTCTCCCCACGTAACACCAAGGGCACGAAGGATCGGCAAAGAAATCAACGACGATGGCGATGGGTTTCTTGCCCCCCTCGCTCTCTTTGTGCGTTTCTGGAGCCACAGCCTTCATCCTCTCCACCTCCTCTGCCGTTCGGTCTAGAGCAGAGTCAGTGCAGGAAGGAGAAAGGAAGGAGAAAGGATGGAGGTGGAGGAGGAGGAGCAGCAGCAGCAGGAAGGAAGTTGACCTCGCTCGCTCCCCTGGAGTATTTGCTTCGCTTGCAGTTTCTTCAGGTCTCCTTCGAACTGTTCCAAGTCCTTGCCGAACAACTGGCAGCCATGGTTAAGAATGATGATGAGGATGCGACGTGAGAGTAGGGGCAGGGGCAGGGGCAGAAGGAGCGGCCTGGGAGGATATGAAGCTGGAGAAGGAGGGGAGGAGAGGGAGAAAGAAGAGGAGGAGGACAAGGAGGACAAGGAGAAGGAAGAGGAAGAAGAGGAGTGGAGGGTGGCGAGTGGTGGGGGGGGCGGGAGATTGTACATGTTTCATCATTTGCTGCTCCAGCTCTTTCTGTAGTTTCGCGTTTTCGCCTTTTCTCTTCGCATCCTCGATGGCTTTCTAGAGTTCAAATGTGAATGCACTGCTCCTGCTCCTGCTCCTGCTCCTGCTCCTGCTCCTGCTCCTGCTCCTGCTCCTGCTCCCTTCCTCTCTTCATACTCCTCTTCGCTTCTATTTCCTGCCCCACTCGCGCTGATTACCTCCTTCTGCTCCTTCTGACAAAGAGCTGAAAACAGCCCATCCGTCCTTTTCTTACTCTTGACATCCGCAGCACCTGAGATGTGAGAGACCTGCAGGAGACGAAAGAGTTCAGACATGACACATGTTACGTACGAGTATCATGATGCATGTTACGTACGAGTATCATGTCAGTGCTGATGGTACAACATAAACATGCAGGATCTCATACATCTTCATCCTCTTCCTGTTTCTCCTCATTCTTATCATTTCTGTCACCACAACCACCATCATCTCCATCTCTATCATCACCATCATTACCACCACCACCACCATTTCCATCATCTTCATCGCATCACAACCCCAAAATCTTCGCATCATTCAACAACCCTCTCACCACCCGCAAGTCCAGCGAGTCATCTTGTAGCGACTTGAAGTCAAGAGCTGAATCAGTCTGCCGAACGATCAGCAAACCCTCCAAGACACCTCAACACAACCACGTCTCACCTTCTTGCCGAACCTTGCCAGCAGCTTCTTGACAGAGTCTTCCATCCTATTTACAGACTGCATGGCGGATGTGCTCACTACGGGGATGTTGCTCGACAGGTCCACTGCGTATCTTGCTTGCTATGAGACGATGTCAGTTTGCATCTCAACGATGCACAAGATGGTAAAAACGTCTTCTCCGTCGTCCCTGACGCTTGTCATGTTGGATGTGGCCGCCCTGGTAGGCCAGATGTCTTGGATGTCGTCTTGACAAGGAGCAGTCAAGGGTTGATGTCGCACTTGACCTCAACGCTCTTCTCTACCTGGAACGACATTCTTGTCTCTTGCTTTCGAGATCGCAATCGACTTCTCAAAGACCCTCGCGTTCATCTTGAAGCGCTTCTTCAGCTTGTGCGAGTCCGACGAGTCCTGGTCCATGGTGTCCCTCCCCTCCTCATGGAGTCCTTGCAGCTGCTGCTGCCTCGTCAGCAAACGTGAGAACCAGCGCCAGCAGGCATGCGTGCGTGCGAGGAGAGCTTGCCTTCATCTGCCTCAGAGTAGTTCCGTTGATCTCAGGCCATGTATCCGCCTCCTCCCTTCTCTTCTTCTGCCATGGCCGTCGGGTCACCTTCTTTTTCTCCTCAGAGCTTGGCAGAGAGATGTCAAAAGCTTCGTCGTCAAGAAGGTCTTGCAGTCGAGATGACATCTGAGACTTTCCGTGTTTCGAGCTTGCAATGGAAGACCCTCCGCAAGTCAACAGAGGGCAACAAGCGAACGCCGATAGCAGGAGCAAGAAGCATCCAGTGAACGGCGGCTCCCCCTTCATGTCAACATGCCTGATGGATCTCTTCAAGGTGACGCTGTTTTCACATCCCAGATCGAAGCAAGCGCACTACCGCTCCAGTAGTGAACCTCCTCCGTCTCCTAACCCCTTCTCGCATCCTTACACTGGCATATAGCTTCTCCTCCTGGGATGATTCCACATGGTGGTTGAGACAGCTTGCGTGTCCTTCAACAGTGTTTCTTCTCTCCTCCTGCTCCTCCTGCTCCTCCTGCTCCTCCGCCGCCTGTTGCTCATTGTCTGCCCACCATGGGTGCGCTAGCAATCATTACAAGAGGGGGGTCCATCATTCCATTCTCACAAGGGGGGTACTTGTAGGAAAATAACGGGGTAGTCACATCCTTTTCAACCCACCCCTGCTGCTTCTACCGGTCCAAATGAATTTGGTCAGCCGCACGCCATTTTGAAAACTCTCGGCCCGGCCACGGCGCCCGGCCGCCCCGGGTAACTGTTATGAAAGGAATCAACATACCTGGAGGTGTCTTACA